TTGGTACCTAGTTCTAGTTCTAGTGTTGTCTTTAGTTCTTCTAGTTCTAGTCTGTACGATGTTTTGAATATTATTTAATTAAATATTAATAAACAACATCACTATCATGGACGTTGATCGTAAGCGTTCAATGTTCGCCGTCCGCCCTAACTGAACTCGAGCCCTGGATTCGCCTTTGGGGGTGGGTGAGCGTTGAGAGGAAGAAGACGGTTGTGTGTGTGTATTTTTTTAAATTTTTTAATTGATTATTTAATGTGATAAATGGAAATTTACTATTTTGTCCATTTTTATAATATTATTAAAAGTATGGTCAAAGTTAAATTTTTGATCGACTGATAAAATTATGGATGGAAACTGTCCAAAAGGGCTTCACCTGCAATATTTGAAAATGTTAGGAGTGACAGTTGCTACAAATCAAAGGTTATGTAAAGTCTGCTAATGTTTTAAAGGTTTGAGGTTTTTGTTGCAATTATCCCTTTATTTTATTTACTTTTATCTAGAAAAATTTGAATTTTGATTTAATACATTTGTGCTTGCCTGAGTCAAATAAAGAACATGTCGAATTGAAACATTTTAATTGAAGTGATTAAGATTTTTTAATAGTTTTGAGTGATATCGATCGATTTTGTCCACACGAACTATACTATGTATAAATGATCAGCTAGTCTTTCAAAGAGAGAGTTGGCACCTTGAATCTAGTTCCACTTTAGTGTGAGAATGAGTTCACATTTTTCATGAGAATAGGCTCTTATTACATAGCCTTCAAAATGCGTTGATGTCTTCTAAAACGATTATCTGCACATGAGATAAGTGTTCTTAAAGTTTTTTGAGATTGTCGATGGAAATATTAACGAAGAAAAGGATTGAATGTACCATAAGTGTTATACCCTAAATCTAATCAATTTTGGATATAAACACTTTTAATATATATTTGATGTATTTTTTATGGCATATATGTTATTTAAATTCAATTAAATTAAATAATAGAGTCCGTAGACTCAAATTTTAGTAATTTGTTAATCACAAGGAGTTATGATTGTGAAATACAAATTACATACGACTGAATCTTAAACCATTCATGATCGTAAGTAATAACAAGATACGAATATCGTTATTACAAATAGATTATCATGTGTGGAATTTCTTACCTGTGAAGTAAATAGCTAATGTCACAAGTTAAAGTGTGGTGACAATTAAATGAATACGTTGACGTTTTATTATAGAACAAAATATTGGAAACCCGTTAGAAAGATTTCACATGGATAATTATCTAAATGTCAATGGTTAATCTTTAACGTTCGGTAATTGAATTTGTCATTTGACTTGAGATCATCACAGTGCCTTATATGAGGGATGACAATCATACTTTGGTGGTGGTGGATGTTACTTTATCAAGAGTCGCTAATACGATATCGTTAGGGTATGTTAAAAATCATATTAAGGTTGTAAATGATCAATAGATGATTCGTCATTCTTAGATAATAAAATATTATGATCTACATTTCATTCAATTAAGTTGATAATGAAATACTTGACAAATGTATACTCATAAGTCGAAAAAAGAGTTTTCGACTTACATTAACTTAATAGTGGAATAAAAGATATGATCAATAATTGAGATTGACATATGTTCATATCTCGTAATTGATCGAATTATATTGACAAAAAAATTATAGTTTCAGAATGAACTAGTTTGATTTTATCACACCACATAACATTTTTCATCATTTGAATTACCCGACACATTACTAGATGTCAATTTGGGACAACGGATGTGAATTAGTGATAAATTAAAAGGTGTTAATTCTTGTTTTCTTGTATGAATTTTCATTAGACGTTGGACAATTGAGCAGACGTGGATTGCAAATCGTGATTGTTCGTATTTAAAGATCAACAAAGAAGTTTACAGAATTTACAAAATGTATAATTCCTATCATAGTCTCTATCTAAATGAAAAGCAGATTATCGGTGGGAATTGAAAATATTTTATTTTTCGTTTTGCATGATTAAGTAAATTATCAATATGAATTGTCGCGGCTTCTACTTTACATGCTCCATCTTTGATCGCTGATGATTCTAGCTCGGTTATGGCGATCTAAACATGAAAGACGGGGTTT